AGGGTGGGGGTGGGGGTGGGGGGGGACAACAGATGCAAGGAGGGGAGGAGTAAGTGTCCAATGTAGACAAGAAAGAAGGTGAGCCTGGCCTTGGACCTGAAGGAAGGCTCAGTCTCCATATGTCCTGGGACCCAGGCCTGGGCAAACCTCCCAGACTGGGTGGGGTGGCCTCCCCAGGTTACCTGGCAACCAGGAGGCCCTGGGAATCTAGTTCAGCCTTTATTGAACACCTACTAGATGCCATTTCCCGTGTAAGGCCTGGCCAATAGAGGGCAGAGACTCAGGCTTGGTTTCAAGGAGAGAAAAATAAATGCCAGCCATGTAGTAGGTCCAAAGTTATAATAGATTCTAAATCACCCAGTCTCTAAGTACCCATGTTTTCTGAATCCCAGATCAGCCCATGTGGAGTGATGTGTTTGGATGTACACTGTGAGCCACAGAATAAGATATTTGAGGCTGTGTGGTTACTGAAACTGTGGGCCCTGAGGCCCAAAAAGACAAGGGGGAAGGCTTGAGATTCTGGGGGCCTGCTCTTGGCCAGGGAGCTGCTGAGGGCCCAGGGGCAGCCATCCGTGCCAGGCTCCATTTCCTAGGCTTTTCTGTTTGACAAGGTTAAAAGGGCGAGTCTATAAGTCTCTATAAAGAGCCCTTACTACTCTCTGTGTTGTTTTTTTAATATGTTTTTATTGATTTCAGAGGGAGCAAAGGAGAGGGAGAGAGAGATAGAAACATCAGTGATGAGAGAGAAACATTGATCAGCTGCCTCCTGCACACCCCCTGGGCATATGCCATGACTGGGAATCAAACTGTGACCTCCTGGATCATAGATCGACACTCAACCACTGAGCCATGCCAGCCAGGCACTACCCTGTGTTTTACAGACGAGGAAACTGAGGCTCAGAGAGACAGCAGATAAGTGCCAGAGCCCAGATTCCAACCGGGGAGGTTCTGACTCCACAGTCTGGGTTTTTTCACTCTGCCAGGCTGGGGTTGGAGTGTGGCAGGGACCCCAAATGTGGGAGTGTGGGTTGTCAGTGAGCTGGTGAGAGGGAGCCCTGAGATCGGACTCCCCTGAACCTCACATCTCCACAAGGCAGCCACAGGCTCAGGCCCCATAGCTGTGCAAGTTTGGGGAAGAGGGGAGGTGACAGGCACTGGCATGTTGGCATTTACCCCTCAGGCTCTAAAGTGATGTGCTATATATTGGGGCACCTTGGCCTAGAAACGTGCAACAGAATCTCCAAGCCTCTGAGGGTGAGTGAGGAGTTGAGTCCTCACGTCCTAGTTCTCCGACCTGAGCAGAGGGGGGCCTATGGCTGGTGCTCACACCTTCTAGGTGGCTAAGTTTTATCTCAGGATTTTCCCAGTGGCAACTTCTCAAGTATTTCTCTTCTCTCTCAGAGAGCAGCTCATCTTCTCTATCCTGGCCTGTGCTTATTGCACAAATCATCTCCAGGGAGGGCTGGCTGGGCTGGACTGAGCCTGGATCCCTCCTTGGGGCTGTGACCCAGGAAGACCCAGGGATGTGGACAGGAGACAGGTGTCTCTTATGCTTCGCTGGCGCCCAGCCTCGGGGACAGACAAGCATGGGGTGGGCCATGGCAGCAGGCTCCAGAACATACCTTCAGGGCAAGGGAGTAGCCATGGGCAGCTGAGGCCAAAGGGCTGCTGTCCCCATCCTAGGAACTGAGCCACAAGCTCAGAGCACACCTAGGGCTTTGGGACAGGGCCTCACCCAGAAGGCCCCTCGGGACTCAGAAGGGCAGCCGGCCCTTCCCACCCCATTTCTGTTTCCTCCACCTGCCTCTGGTCCACTACGCTGTCATGACAGGGCGGGGGACTGAGGTACAAGTCAGAACACCTGGGCCTAAGCCCCACACCCTCCTGCCTCCGTGTTCTTTGGAGAGTCACCTGGCCCGAGTGCCTGACTCACAGTTAAGGAGCCCCGGAGCTGCAAAGTGGGCCGAATGTTAGCAGTGTCCCTCCCTCGCCCAAATATGGTCCCATGGGCCAGACTTCCCTCCTGCACTGTCCCCAAAGCAAATGACACCACCCACTCTCCCTACCCCCCCATACACATACATGCACATAGTAGCTCAAATGAATCACACAAGAAGGCCTGTTGATACTATGAGCTTTTAATCGGTATCTTCCTCCCTACAGCTGAGGAAGAAACAAGGCCGCCCCGCGCTGACCTTCTGCTTCGAAGGGGCTGAGGAGGGACCGGAGGGCAGCGGTAGAGCTGACAGTGGCTTTCCCGAATCCTTTATCTAGTGGTAGGTGGCTGGACCTGCACAGGAAGTCCGAAAACAAAAATCACCAACAAGCTGCCACATCCTCAAACCTGCCATCCCAGGCCTGGCACGGAGCCGCCCTCTGGGTGCCCGCGGCTCCCGAGGCCACCACCAGATGGGAGCATTGGGCAGCATTCCTTCCCTTCCCTCCCCTCCCCTCCCCTCCGCAGGCCTGCCTCCCCTCCTCCTCCTTCCTCATTCCTTCACCAGCCCCTTCTCTGCCTGCTTTCCCCCTCTTTTATTTCTTCTCCTACCAAAACAGATCCTGGGGCTTCTGACTGCTTTATGTCCAGGGAAGCCGGTGACAGATGAAAGCACCCTGACTGTCAACTGGGACCCTTTGATATCTGGGAGGGCCAGCCAAGGGTCTGCTGCTGGGGGAACCCCCTGGGTCTGGACACTGTGTTCAGCCGTTGTGAGCGGGGCAGTGACTAACAGCTCTCTGTGGTCCTAGCACCTGGCACCCAGTAAATGTTCAGAAAATGACTGTTGAGTTGGACTGAACAGAACTGAATTAATAAATCAGCCATCAATAAACCAATCAATAAAGTCAAGGAGGTAAAACATGAGAAACATGTATTTATTCTGCTGGTGGCCTCAGAGACCACAGGGCCAACTTAACCGAAGCACAGGCTGACCAGCACCCAAGGGCACCTGCCTAGTGGCCTCCACTCAGGGCAAGTCATGTGCTGGGCTGGACCATGCCCCTGCTTCCCACTTCTCATGACCCCGAACGTGAAGTGGCTCTGCTCGTAGTGGTCTAGGGGGCTGTGGGGAATGTGTCCCGTGAGCCCCTGGGCCCTCCTTTCTCTCCTCACCTACCCCTTTTGGAAACCCATTCATTCCATGCTTCCTGTGACCACCCTGCAGCTGCCATCTCTAGAACCCTGGTGGGAGGCTGGCTAGGGGAG